GGGCACCAGAGCCAGCTGCTTCAGTCATCCTTTGCCTGTCTCCATTTCCACTGTATCTTGGGAGGGGAGATGGTCTTCCGTTCTAGAACATTCTGCTTCTCCCATTTCCATTCCTCCTCTTACCTAGGCCCGTCTTCTACTCCCAGCTGTGTACACTCCTGTTGTGAGAGGCCTGGGTCCCCAGGCTGCTGGGTATGCTACGGGGCTGGAAAGCCAGAGAGGGCTGTAGGCCCAGGAGAACCTGTGCAGAGTCAGGAAGCAGCTTGAAGCAAGAGAAGGGTGGTGGGGACAAACCCACCTGCAGGGACCACACCAATCCGTCTGCTGGTTGAGGCCAAAGCGAGCGCGGCATTTCTTAGGTGAGCCGGGGTCTGCTCAGGCATGCCAGAGGGGCAGAGGAGAGCAGAGGGCGAGCAGGCAGGCAGCAGGGCAGAGCAGGGCCCAGAAAGAAGAGGCAGCGTCAGTGTTCACCAGTCACAGACACCCCAACAGCCCAAAGGCAGAGCAGGCGAGTGTCGGGAAAGCTATCTCCCGCTGCCAGGAGAGGCAGTGGCAAGGGGGGAGGAGGGTAGGTAGGAAGCGGGGCCAGCAGAGCTGGGGATCATGGGGGATTCTGAGTTCCTCCAGCACCCAGAGGAAGGAGGCCTCCAAGGGGGTATGGGGTTCTAGGGACCTCGATACAAAGTTGGAACACTGCCAAGGAGAATGTGGGGGCTAGAAACACCTGAGCCTTTGCTCAGCTTCCAAGATGCCTGCTGCCCACGTCAGCACAGGGAAGCAGAGCACATCAGCTCCTCTCTAGCTTCTCTGGGATAAGCCCGCTGGAACGGGCTGGCAGGAGGGGCACACCCCAGCATGAACTAGCTTCTGCAGGTCTTCCCTGTGAGTCAGCAGGGATTCGGCTCCCTTATGGATCCTGGTCCAACCCACTACCCCTCCCTCTGGGTCAGAGCAGAGCTGCCCTTGAAGCGGGCTTGGGACCCAGCTGCTGAGAGCAGGCCTCACCTGTGTTGGATTCTTGATGCTTTTCCCTTGAGCGCCTTTTCTTCTTTCCCTGCAGGGGAGAGACTCTGATTGGAGGGGCAGTTGCTGTGACTCCAGCGAGGGGCAGAAGTGGCAGTAGTCTGCTTCTGAGACTCCTGCTGCTGCTTACCTTGAGCCCTGGTAATTCTTGCCAAGCTACCATGGGGTGCTTTGGGGGGCTCCCTCCCATCCCTGCTCTGTTTTGAACGGAAAGATGGAAATTCCGCCCCTCTGGCCATCCTTGTGGTCCTTTGTGGAAGTGTGTGCTGGGATGGGGAAGCAAGGTGCATGGCATTTCTACCTGGCTTGGCCTCTCCTGAGCTAGTCGGGAGTTAGAGGTTGGTATTCTCACCCCTATGCTAGTGGTTGCAGTATAAGGAAATTTCCAGTCTGTTAGTTGGGAATATCCCAGTAGTGTTAATCACTGAGCTGTAAAACACAGTGTAGACACAGAGCCAGGACAACAGACACTACCTGACTTCAGAGGCAGGTGGGCCTACTAGGCCAAGGAACCCCAGGGATTGCTGACTACTAGAAACTGAAATAGATGGACTCCCACCCCCACCCCACCCCAGCCACTTCCTGAGTTTAGCCCTAACACCAAGGGGCAAACTCATTCCCAGGGTGTAGCCAGCTGGGGTTGTGCCGAACTACGCCTTGTATTCTTCTCCCCCAGCTCAGGGCATCCCAGGGTGTAGGTCTGGGCTGCCTAGGTTCTGGCCCCATCCTGACCTCCCATCCATCAGCAACTGTCCCTTTCCCAGCAGGCCAACTCAATCCAGAGATGCTAATTAACGTGTGTCCTGAACAGGCGCAAAAGTGCTGATGGACCAAAGAACCCCAGGGGAGACCTTGGAGGCCCCCTCCCCCCTGCACCACCACCACTCCACTCTTCTGAGATTGTGACATGGCATGGCACCCTGAAGGTGTTCCCCCACCCCACCCCTTGCCATATCTCTGGCCACTTACGTAGTTGTCCCGAGCCGACCAGCCTGGATAGAGCTGCATGTGCAGCTGCCTCTCTTTGCGGGCTAGCTCATAATACTTGGCTTGCTCTTCCCGAGACAGCGCGTGCCACTGCAGCAGGGTAGGGAGACAGCACAGTGGCAGTCAGTTGGTGTGCCAGGGTGAAGGTGGTTGAGGTCATCCCCCTGCCCATGGCCTCACCCTGCGTCCTAGGATCTGGTTGATGGCCGCGCTTTCCTTGAGGGTGCACTCAGCAATGACCTTGGCTCGCATCTCCTTCATGTACAGCATGAAGGCATTGAGTGGCTTCTTGATGGTTGGCTTCTTTGTCTCCTTCTCCATTTTGGCCTCTGCCTGAGTCTTCCTGAGGGGGCATACCCACATCAAGCCTGCAGTGCCCAACTTATGCCACCCCCTCTAGTGTCTGAGGGAACCAGTTCTCAAAGAGGTAAGCAAAGAGCTCAGTGACTGGCATATGGGGTCTAGGGGACATTCGTGAGTAAGCCTGCAGCCCCTGCCCTGTTCCGACACCACCTGTCTTATTTCTTCTTGCTTTTGAGGATCAAAACAGAGTGGTCAGAGCTCAGAGACCCTTGATGGAGGTGGGTGGGGTGTCTACTGGGATCCCTGGAGCTCTGAGGCAGCTTTAGGCCCAGGGGAGGGGAGGACCTGGGCATGGACAGGCCCTGGAGCCCAGCCGGGAGTCCGATCTGTGGCATTCCTACACCTAACCACCCACTGTGGGCCATTTCACTCACAGGCCTCGGTCATAGGGCTGCAGCTCCTGCTTCCCTGAGGGGGGCACGATGGCCGGGTGGGGGATGGCTGCAGGGTGGCCAGGTACGCCCGAGCCTAGCATCAGGGATGGGTGGGTGAACCTGGAGGAGGAGGAGGAGGAGGAGGAGAAGAGTTGACCCGAGGGGTGCCAGGGTCAGTCTGCGCACACACCTGGAGGCCCCTGCATGGGACACAGGTGAACATGCGCTGACCTGCACACAGGTACACGGAGATACATACACAGACTGAGTCCCAGCATAGCACACAGACACGTTGCAGAAATCCGCACAGATGCCATCCGGGTGCTTACTACATAGCCCTCCCCCAGCTTCTGAAGTTCCCCTTCTCCTTACCTGCCACCCATACCTGTGGCTGCTGGGGCCACGAGACTCGCCTGCTTGCCCACCCCAGCCTGCCTCATGACAGCCAGAGTGACCTTTTGAAGACACCTGAAGCTTGTGGCTGTGCCCCCTGACATCTCCCATCCCATCTTAGTCCCTCGCTCAACCACTGCTCTTCCCTCTGCCCTCTCCCAGGGGAGGCCACCTTTTTTATGAAGCACTCTGATCCATCTGGTCACCCCATCACCAGATGACCCCACTTGGCCGCCCTGTCCCTGGTGCTTTGCTGGGCAGACTGGTGTGGACTCGGGCCTCCCAGGCTCTTGCTGGCTTTGCGCTCAGGCACAGGGCAAGGGGGGGCCTGCAGGATGACGCACGGACGAGTGGACGGACAACTAGCACAGGTTAAGCAGTGGTCTGGGCACGGCCTCATGTGGGCATTGAAGCCTGGGCAACAGGAAGCGGGTGCCTGGCTGCAGGGCAGGGGACTCACCTGGGGTAGGGGGCGCCAGGGGCTGCAGTGGGGGCAGGGAAGTGCTGTCTATATCCGCAGGAAGGGGACAGGGGGTAGAGAGGAGGGCTGGGCCTGTGATTGGGAGAGACAGCTGTTAGCAGTCTAGCTGCTGGCCAGACCGGTGGGGAAGGCTGCCCCAAAGTGAGGCCCCTTGGCCGTGGCTTGGACCACTCCAGGCTGGAGCTGGATCCATCCGAGGCAGTGTGTGCTGCAAGCATCTGCCACCAGGGGGCAATGTGGACTGCATCTGGTCCCTTCTGTGGCCCATGCTGAGGACCCAGCAGAACAGGCCCCAGGCCCCCTTCCAGCCCTGTAGCTCCCAGCAGTGGCAGCCTCCTGAGCACGCAGGATGATTCCTGCCCGAGGGTTTCGGCCCCCACTGCACACTGCCTGGAGACTCTGCCAGTTTCAACTAGTCTAGACCCTTCCAGAAGCTCTGAGGTCCCAGTTGGATGAAGCACCCTTCTGGGCTCCTTCAGTGTATGGCTCACAGTGCCTTATGAGTGCCTGGCTTCTGGCCCGGTGGTCAGGGACCTCTCAGTGCTTTCCTGGGTACCCAGAACACTGCCTGGCAGGGCTCAGGGCAGAGCTGGCCATTCTCTCCTGGCAGCGCTGTGCCGTGCCACCATCTCCCCTCCCCCCAGCCTAAAGTCCCCTTTCCAGTGCCTGGGGCTGACACCTCCTCTAGGTTCCCATCCATCTCTCTCTTTCTCTCCCTCTCAGACATCAGTTTTGGGCCTGGGAAGACTTTCAAGAAGGTGGGGCAGGATCCTGGCCTGGCCTACCCTAGTCGGCCCGAGCTCCGGGCTGCCCCATGGTGCTCTGATCCTGGGATGGGGAACTCAAGGGGGGAATCCTGACTTGTACTGTGGAACAATACCTGTGGAAGGGGAGCCTGGAAACAGGAGTGAGCTGGTACGATGCAGGGTGAGTGGAGAGGGTGGGAGGCTCCAGACTGGGCCTCTGGGTTTCCATGCCTTGCTGAGAAGTGGAACCTTCCTATTGGCAGAAGACTGCCACAGCCTAGAGGGCCTGGGACACACTATAGCCAGTGCACAAAAGGCCAAGGAGTTGCCAGGCTCTATTTTGGCAGGGACAGGCCCTGGTTGGCTTTTCTGGCCCAGCCTCAACAGACTATGTTAGGTCTGGCCCTCCAGCAGCTCAATCCAGGGCCCTACAAGCAGAATTGGTGGGACCTGTACCCTACAAGCAGAATTGGTGGGACCTGTACCCCTTGCACTAGTGAGCTCTGCAGCAGCGGCCTCCTGGTGGCCCTTCATGCTGTCCCTTCCCACTCAGACCCAACACCTTTCCCAGGGCCCTGTGGCTTCCTGAACAGCCCAGCATCTCCTCCATAGAGACAGGACCCAAGCCTGCCTTTCCAGGTAAAAGACAGCAAGCTACCTGGGGACGGTCCACGGGCCAAGGGGCCACTGTAGGATAGTGCTGCAAGCCGGAGGCAGGAAGGGGGGAATGGAGGGTCAGGTGTGGGTCAGAGCAGCATGCCACCCCCTTTCCATGGGCCCACACTCACCAGCTCACAGTGTGAGGGAGCTGTCCCATGCTGCCTGAGGTCAGAGAGTAGAAGCCAGAGAGGTCTGGGGTCTGCAAGGGCCTGTGGACTGCAATGGAGAGGGGCCACTTTTAGCCTGTGGGCCCTCCTTGGGCCGAGAAGATCCCATCCCCTTAACTAGAGGTCCTCAGGCTGGCAGGGCAGGACTGTCCCTGTGTTCCCTATGGGCCTAGTGTGATGGGGCCCCTTGGACAGGCAGGGGAGCCATGGGTAGAGGCTTGGATGACATGCCTACAGGCAGACCACGTGGCTGACTGGTGGGCAGTGCTGGGGTCATCAGAGAGGGGTCCACTGCAGTCTACAATCCGGGCTTCCCTTGGGATGGGAGGGATGCCTGGCCCATCTTAGCGCGAGACAGGCCCCTGCCGCCACCCGCATGTGTTGATCAAGCATGTCTCCCAGAGGCCAGTGAATTTCAGAATGACTCCACCTGAGGCTGAGTGAGTCAGCCAGCACAGCCACTACTTTCCATTTTCTGACTGCGGGCGGGCGGGGGCGGGGAGGCCCAGGGTTGAGCGTGTCGGCAGTGGAGGTGCCTGCTCCCCTGCTTCAAGTCCCTGTCCCAGCCCTCAGGCTCCCCAGCCCATCTTTCCGACTTCCTTATCTCTGGGCTGCTGGGTGACAGAGCTCCAGCTGTTAAAATGGGCCCAGGCACCTGGTCTCCTCAAAGTGAGGGATGAGGCCTCACCCACCGCCACCCCGAGCCCAGGCCCACACCCTACCTTGCTTCTGGCTGATGTCGGTGGGCGCAGGGCTGGGGTGTGGACTGCTGAAATGTTCGTAGAGAGGGGACAGTTGGGGGACTCCGTGAGGGGGCTGACTGGCCTTGTTGTGCTGAAAAGAAGAAGGGTGGGTGAGCATGGAAGAGAAGGGAAGAGAGGCCCCAAGTTGGGACTTTGGGGGTGGAGCAAAGCAGATCCACCATTAGCTATAAGTGGCCTGTCAGAACAAAGGGGTAGGGGGGACCTCTTGAGCGGCTCAGTGATGCCCACAGCCCCGCCTGCTGGACCTTTCTGTTTCCGTGGCTCACGGGCTGCTCCCCTGCCTAGAGTCACGAACACCACCCCACGCCCTGCGCCATGAGATTCCCACTGGTCACAGCCTCCACCAAGACCTGTGTTCTCCTCCCACTACCATCCGGGGGCGGGGGTGTCCCCCAAAACTCTCTGCCCTACCTTGGACCTCACAGGGTTGCTGACACAGGAAGGGCCTCCTCTTCCCAACTCAGGGGAGGTGGGGCTAGGTGGGGTGCGGTTCTTGCTCTGGGCCAACCAGCACGGCACCCCCACTTCCTGTTTCCCCAGCACGGCAGGACTCTTACTTTTCACACCAGGTGCTGGCTCTGTCCAGAGATGACTTGGTGAGCAAGCTGGGCAGGGGGCTCCTACGGAGCAGCAGGGCCAGCCTTGCAGCCCTTGGGCATGCAGCGGGCGTCCTACACAGCAGCCTGGCTGCCCACCCATGGGGTGCTGCTGCCCGGGCGCGCCAATGACTGACCTCTGCCCCGGGCACAGAAGGAACAGGATGGCTACAAGTTATCCAGACTGCTCAGTGTGTCTGTCTGGGCTTCCATGTCCTCTCCTGGGTAACAGGGTTGCTGACCCTTCACCCCCAGGTGTTGGGGTAAGGAAGCCTGGGGCAGGTGCCTTGGCTGTGGGGGCCCCGAGGAGGCTGGGGGTGAGCACTCCTATAGCTGAGGCATAGAGACTCCTACAGGGCACAGGCTCCCACAACTTCCCCACAGCCCTGTTCCCCACATTCTTGCCTTCAAGGGAGCCTGGGGCTAGGCCTCAGGCTGCACACCTTCCCCTTAGGTCTAGGGAAGGTATAGTCTGCGGCTCACCCACTGGTCCACCAGGAGGATCCTGACCTCTCGGGCGACCGAGCAGGCTGACTTTCCACCCTCTGCTCCACCAAGTTACGAATGTCTGCTTCCACGGGGTCGGGAGGGGTCCTTCCGGGCTGGCATGGGATTGGCACCCTCACCTGGTGGCCCCGGGGCAAGGCAGGGAAGCATTCTCACTGGCTGTCCACTGGGAGACTGCCCTCATCCAGGCCTGAGTGACACGACAGGGCACGCTGTTACTAGTGTCTCTGGGCTGCCCTTTGCTCCTGTAAAACTGAGGTGGTGCGGATCAGAAACAACGAGGAGCTCGAGGCCTCACGTGCCAGATAGTGAAGGAGGCACATCCCAAGTCCCTCCACAGGTCAGGAGGGGACCCTGAGAAATGCCACTGAGGGGCGCTCCCTTAGGCGCCCTGGCTCTGACGATGGACAGGTTTGCGGGGGAGCACAGGCATGCTGTCCCTGCCCTGTGCTGTGACTCTGCTCCCTGCTTTCAGAGGGTCCCAGGCTGCTTCACGGCCAGGCTGCCTGGGCGGGCTCTGTCCTATACCCCGCTCTGACGCCAGACAGGACTATATGGAAAGGAAGGGCCACGGGACTTTTCCAAGAATGCTCTGAAGACCTCTCTCGCCTGTAAGACACTAAGGTGGGTGAAGGGAAGTGGCAGGCAAGGAAGGTCAGCTCGGGACTGGACGTGCACACGTGCACCCGCAGGTGCCCAGTCCCCTCTATAGGCCATGTGAGGCACCGCACATTTTGCAAGCCCCAGGGGACAAGCAGGTGTCCCTCATTCTCCACTTAGACCTCCCCCGGCTCCTGCCTCATGTCTTGCTATCCCTGGCTCTCTCTTGGTCAGCTGGTGACCTTCCCCATTGCTGAGTTCAGCGGTCATTTCTCAACTTGAGACTGCCTTTGCTTAGCTCCCAGAACGCCCTTGGTTCTGGTGCCCGTCCTCCTCTTGCACCGAGCTGGCCCTCCGCCCCACCACCCTGGCTCCTAGGGTACTCTCTTCGGGGGCCCCCAGCTGGTAACACCTTCATCTGCTGTAGGAGCTTCAACCTGAGAGCCCCACAGAGGGACCCAGGGAGAGCGTTCACCCCACCTGCCGGGCCAGCTCCTGGGGAGAAGGCTATAATGGTCCTTGGGGCCCAGTCCTCCTGCCTTCAGCTGCTACAAGGGCTGGCCAGGCCTCACGGTGTCCAGGAAGTTTCCCCTCCATCACAGACTCTTGAGCGAGCCCTGCCCCTTAAAACTGTAGTCTAAAGCAGGAGGTAAGCCATCTGTGGCCAGGAAAGGCCAAAGAAGACACGAGACTGGCCCTGGACTCTACAGTGAGACAGACAGGGCCACGGGCAGCAAAGCCAAGGGAATTATCAACTTATTGTGGACAGTCTAAGCGCCTGCCTCGGAGAAGGCCCTACCATCCGGCTCCTGGCTCGTGAGACCGCAGGCCTGGCAGGCTGAGTGGGCAAGCCTTCGAAGCAGGGCTAGGGTCCAGGGACAGTCAGCCCTATAGTCTTCACTCAGCCCAGAGTTGGAGGGTCTCCATAGACAGTTTCTCAGTAAACCACTCCTCTCTGGGGAGGGCCTGCATTGCTCCTTGAGGCCTGCCTGGTTGCAGCACAACACAGGCTGGGCCCAGGAAACTGAGAGGTGGCCAGCCTACAACTCCTGGCCTGGCACGTATGTACATGATGGGAGCCAGGGGTGGGGGGTGGGAGGGAGTGGTGCAGTGGGCTCATCCTGCCCACCAGCCTCCCTGGGAACTGGAGAAAAGCCTCATTAAGTAGGCGTCTCCAGCCAAACCACAGAAGTGTGGGTGGGCACGGGTGGAGCAAAAGTCCACCGACAGCTGGAGGCCCTGTGGCGGCCAGGCTTCAGGGCAGGGCACTGAGGGGCTGGCCAGCCCTTCCCACGTCCATGCAGGCAGTCTCTCGGCCTGGTGGTGGTAGCCAGGGGGAACCGTCTGGCTCGCAGCCCAGCGCCCCACGCCCCCCTCAGCCTTCAGAACGTCCCGCTCCAGGGCCTCAGCACAAGGCTGTCCCAGGGCCAGGCTGCCCAGACAACAGGATGGGGTCGCCTGGGGCCTGGCATATCTATGGGTGACTGCACCACCCCTCCCCCTCCTCTGGATGGTGACCCTCCCTCAGGGAAGGAGGCAGGCCTGGTCTGATGGTTCCACCAGCCCCAGACATCTGGCACAACCTCATCTCTATCTTTGAGGCCAGGGTGCCAAGCACAAGGTGGGCACCCAGGAAGTGCTCCACACTTGGGGGATTGGATGAATGAGCAAATGAGCCTGCAGTAGAGCTGTGGCCTCTGCCTGTGGCTTCCACTGCCCGCCGCCAGGCCCTGCCACTCCAGGATGCACCAGAAGTCGGAGGCCTTCTCTGCGCCCTCCCCCTACCCAGTGACTTTGTCCAGCACCAGGCTGGCTGCCCTGTCACAGGGCTGGCTCACTCCCGGCTCAGGAAGGCCTTCCTGCTACAAGATCTGGCCACACGGCCTCAAGAGCTGCTGTCCCAAAGGTGGTCCTGCCTGGGAAGGCCTGGGGTGGGGACAGGTAGAGACGGGGACTCCTGAGGAAGGAAGGGCTGGTCTGCTCTGAAGTGGAGCTCGGGCCTGGCTGGGTGGCCCCCACTTCCTGCAGGTTCAGGTGAAAAATAAACACAGTCGGCGTTTTCCTGCAGTCTCTGCGGTCGCCGGCAGCCGTGTGTGCACTGCGCACCCTGGCCACCAGCAGCAGAGAAACTCCCTCGCCTCTGACGGTTGACTGAAAACCCCCAATTGCCTGAGACCCACAACACTTTCCCAGAGAAGAAAGTTGCCATTTCCTCTGGCTTCGAGAACCCAGAGGGGGGTGGGGTGGGGTGAGGTCTGCCCTGGCCCAGGGAGCTGTGGCCCTCCCAAGAACGCCTCTCCCCAGGGGGCTGTGCCAGGACACAGGGACACACAGACACGGACACACAGATGCACACACAGGCACAGCCAGTAGGATGCTCAGCGGGATCATCAGGATGTACTGACTGTGCTCCTACTGTGTGCTGGGCCCCTGACAGTGGCATCTGCTACTCATGGAGCTGAGCACCTCACAGAGCTTAGCCCAGGCCTTTTAGCAAGCTTGCTCCTATCCCTGTTGGACAGAAGAGGAGACAGGCGTAGGAAAGTGACAGAGCCAGGATTCACCTGCCACACTGCCACCCTCTTTTCTCCAGGGTTTCCAGAACACACTTCTCTGGCCCTGGTAGTGGAGGTTTGACCAGACCCTGCTTGCCTCCGTCACCCGGGGCCAGGCTGGACAGGCCAGTGTAGCTCTGGTCCACCTTTGCCCTGCTCACCCCCCAACAGCTCACAAGGCCTCATGGCTAGCTCCAGATATCCACCACGCCCTCCTTCCCCCCAAAGACTTCCAGCACTCCTGCTGCCTTTTCCCAGGCGGGCTCCTCATCCTAATCTCAGGCTACGCGTCACAGCCTTAGAAAGGCTGCCTCTGCTGTAGCCTGGCAGGCGGGGTATTGCCAGGTGCAGAGGTCAGCCCGGGAGTCCCAAGACTGCGTGCTGCTCTCGGCTCAGCAGACCTGCTCTAGGCATGTTTCATCAAGGCCTCTAGGGACCTCAGCGTGCCCCCACCCACTCATCTACCACCCAGCTAGGACTTGGAGTTCCTTGGGTGCCTGATGGCTGCTCCGGAGCTGGGAAGAGCCCTCAGGAGCAAGCCTAGAGGAGGAAAGGCAGTGGCAGGCCGCCCCGCAGCACCTCAGAGGCAGAGCTGACGGACGGGAAGGTGGGCTAGGTAAAAGGGCACTCTTTACATGCCAAGCGGGCCGAGGTTAGGATTGAGTGATGTAATTACCACAGGTGACAGCTGTTTCAAGGAAGGAAGGAAGGCACTCTCCTTCCCGCTGTACCCGTGGGGAAGGGCAGCTCCGTGAGGCTGGGAGCCCATGTGGCCGCAGTTCCTCAGCCCACGAAGGGGGCCTTGGTCTGGG